ATTATATTTGTTAAGAGCTTTTGTGCTTTCAGCTGATTCCTTAACTGTGGAGTCTCTATTGGAGCTCTTGGATGAGGATAGCTTGCGAAAGGATACCGCACTTCCTTCTCCAGAGTGGTCTTCAGACCATATAGCACTCTTAGCTGGATTTCGGTGCAAGCCTAGAACTAGACGCTAATAATAGGTAAAATAAAAAATAAAAAAAATTCTCTTTTATTGGTATACTGTAAGCGTTTTTATTATTGATAGCCATCCCCCCTTGTCCCTCATTCCCCTTGGTTTTGTTGCTATCAATAACTCTGGTGAAAGGTTTGACCTGACAATCTATTTAGATATGTCGGTTCTAAATGAGAACCAAGAGTCGACAGCTGAAGTTTCATCGAGCTGCTGATACAAACCCAAAGTGGTAGAAGGCTTCTAAATTGTTCTCGGGAACATATATTCTGCATTTTCTCTTCTATTTGTCAATAAATTGTTCAAGTTTCATGTTGGAATATCCTAAATTATCTAGACAAGGTGTAGTCAAAAATCATATTATGATTTTCATTGACCTGTTTTGGTTCATTTTTCCTACAAACAGCCTATAGCTTGCATAGGAGCTCAATTGTTGGTCGTGCATCCTTTTTAACAATTTTTCCCCTTTAAATACCAGAGTAGAAATTTTTTATGGTTTAGTCCCTGTCTATATAGGCAATATGAGAAAGTCTCCTGATATCGGTCGTGTAGAAAAACAAAATAATCGATGACACATTACCTTGATCTCCAGAAAATTTTCCACTTATGCGTATTATTTGGTTTCCTGCAGGTCTCTCCAAAGAAAATTTTCAAAAATGGTTGCTCAGAATGTTGAAGAGCAAAGAAAGTTATTGTAAGAATGATAGATCATATCCTCCAATGGACTTTTTAGTTGTATCCCCTTGTGGGATGTTTTGCTATGAGCTCCTTTGTATCATGCGATCATTGTCTCATAGAGAAATTATGAAAATGCGATAGTGAATTTCGTCCCTTTTTCTTCTTAAATAGAAATATAATTAGTAATATCTGCTGTGCAATGTTATCTCAAAATTTTTATTTGAAAGTAACATTGGCTGGGCTACATGGAGTTTTTATTGAATTTCCTTTTCAATTCCTGACTAAATTAGTTGCAACTATGAGCTGCTACAGCCCCCTTCACATGGGTGTGGGCCCCGTGCATTAATTGGGTGTGGGTCCCTCCCCTCGTGAGGGGAGTGTTGTACAAGGGGCTTTATTTTTTGTGAAAAAATTGCTGATTGATAATAACTTAAGTTGTTCAAGTTGATAATCTCAAGTTTTCTCGGTCATTTGATCTTCAGTATAAATAAAATACTCATTGCTAATCT